AATGTTCATTTCCAAAACTGAATAATACTGAACTATAAAAATCTAGAATGTATTATTAAATAGATTATTAGTGGGCATCTAGTAAATAGAGATCACAAGGAACCAATATGATTTCATCAAAACCAGGTCATGCCTTACTGAATAACCTTATTCCTTTCTTGATAAGAGTTATTAGATTAGTAAGTTAAAGGGAATGCCCTAGCTAAAATTTACCTAGATGTTGTAAAAACATTTGAAAAAGTCTCTTATATTATTATTTTTGTGGAAATTCTGGAGAATGAGATGTGGACTAGTTAATAGTGCAGTTAAATGAATTGTGAACTGTGTGAATGACAACCACTTCTAAAGGAGTCATTAATGTTTCAGTTTCTGCTAGGAGGCATGTTTCCACAGAAGGGCCTCGGGGCTCTACATGCACTTTGACCCCGTACTAAAGGCCTAGGCATGGCATGCTTAACAGATTTGCAGATGACATGAAGCTGGGAGGGCTCATTAACGTATAGGATGATAATCAGAATTCAAAAAGATCTCAACATTGGGGCAATTCAATTAAGATAAAATATGGTGATAAATATTAACATTTTACATTTGGCTTCAAAACATGTATCTTGAGTAGGGAAAGCATGGCTAGACAATGATTCATCTGAAGATGATTTGGGGATGTAAGTGAAGAGGAAGCTCCGTCAGAGTCAACAGAGTGATAGAGTAGCCAAGAAAGCCATTGCAACTTTAGGCTTTGTTTAAGACAGGCCCAGCTTCTGGCCTGCACCGACTACATCTGGAGTACTGTGTTCAGCTTCAGGCAGAAAGCCATTTGATGGACTGATGAGTGTCAGAAAGAGGACAACCAAAGGGAATAAGGGCTTCCAGATCAGCCTCATCAGAGTCATCAGAAAGAATTGGTCACGTTCAGTGTGAGGGAAGGAAGGACTTATGCAGTAGGTTTTGGAGTAGAAGGGGGTGGTGGGGACAGGGAGAGGAGCAGCAGTACTAAAATTATCTGAAGGGCTATCTCTTGGAAGAAGAGAGATTCTACTTGTTCTTGGTCCTAGAAGGCAATGGATAGAAGTTGCAAAGAGGTAAATTTATGCTTACTGTTAGAGAAAACCTTGGTTAACACACTTAAAACTGCCTAAAAGACCATTGCTATGATGGGTGCCTTCTTGGTGGAGATTTTGGAACAAAGTCTGGATGTCTGCTTGGGTAGAGGGGTCTCCTGTTTAGGGATAGTCTGTCTGGACTAGGTAGGCCCTGGGGTCCCTAGAAGTTAGAGGGTTTTGTATGAATCTGACTCATTTCACATTGAAATTACTGAATTACACCAAAGGTTAAAACTTAAAAATGCTGTAGTTGTAAAGCAACATTTTAAAATAGCAAAAATTATAAATTGTCTCATCTTTACCTTGGTGAGGTTAGAAAGCAGTTAGTTATAAGCAAAGCTGTAAGTTAAGATGATATTCCCTCTTAAATGTTAAAATATCATGTAGTCAGTCTTATCATTTTGAAGTTTGTGTTTTCAAACAGCTTTCAAAAATGGTGGCGTGCTAGGATAGAAAGCGCTTGGAGGTGGACTTAAGAGATTTAGTTCTACTGCTTAAGGACTAGCTGTATGAATGACATCAAATCTTGGTCCAGATAATTGCCTGCCCAAGATTCCACGTACACAAAATTGTGGACATTGAAATCCTTTTGATTTTTAAAACCTATGAAATGTTTATGCTTAAAAATGAAGATTTGGGAATTTAAATTTCCTGAAACATTGGTATAAATCTGTTTAGGGGTCATTAGTGACCTAGCAAAGATGACTTCTACAGATATTGACGTAACCCTATAGTATCTCTGTTTAGCTCAAATTGCACATCCCCAGCTGTCTATTTAGCATTTCAAACTTGACATCCTGTAGGCATCTCAAACTCAGCATGTCTGAAAGAGAACTATCTTTTGTGCCTTGGATGCACCCTTGTTCCAACCTTTGCTATTCCTGTTGAAGATTCTACTATTATTCCAGTGCACCTAAGTTTGCAACCTTAAAGCCACTTACAACTCCTCACTGTCTCTTACCCTGTGATATATCCAGTCAGTTACCAAATTTTGACATTTCTTTTGTTGTTCAATTGTGTCTGACTCTTCGTGATTCCATTTGGGACTTTTTGCCAAAAATGCTGGAGGGGTTTGCCATTTTCTTCTCCAGCTCATTTTATAGATGAGGAACCTGAGTCAAATAGGGTGAAGTGAATTGCTCCGGGTCACACAGCTAGCAGGTTTCTGAGGCAAAATTTGAATTCAAGTCTTCCTGACTCCAGCTAGGTGGTGCAATGGCTAGACGTCTAGAGCACTGGACTTGGAGTCAGGAGGATTTGAGTTCAAATATAGCCTCAGACACTTGCTAGCTGTGTGACTCTGGGCAAGTCACATAGCCTTTTTGCCTCAGTTTCCTCATCTAGAAAATGAGCTGGAGAAGGAAATGGCAAACCACTCCAGTACCTTTGCCAAGAAAACCCCAAATAGGGTCATGGAAATTTGGATAGAACTGAAATGACTCAGCACCACTTTCTGGCTCCAGGCCCAGCTCTATCCTCTGAGCCACCTAGCTACCTCCTTGACATTTCTTTTTTTCTTTTCTTTCTTTCTTTCTTTTTTTTTTTTTAACATTTTTACTGCCACAAAATTTCTTCTATCCATCCCTTTCTCTCTAATTGCACAGCCATCATCCTAGTTCAAGCCCTTATTGCCTCTTCCCTAGACAATTGCAAAATCCTCTAATTCATCTCCCTACCTTCAAATCTCTTCCCTCTCCAATCCATCATCCACACAACTGTTAAAGTTATATTCCTAAATTACAAGTCTGTTTGCCTATAGGATAAAATATAAATACCTCTCATAGGCATTCAAAGCCTCTTAAAAGCTAACCCCAGCTTACCTCTCAAGTTTTATTACACATTACTCCACTTTATTTTTTGCTACAGTCCAGCCAAACTGGGCCTCTTGGTGTTCTTCACACACAACAACCCATCTCCCATCTTTGTGCCTTTACTTTATATGGACTGTCCTCTATCTTTGGAATGTACTTCCTTTTTACTTTCACCTCTTAAAATCCCTAGTTTCTTTCCAAACTCAGCCCAAATGCTATCCTCTATGTAAGACTTTTCCTGATTCTTCCTCTTCCTTCTTGTCCCCTCTTCCCTTATTATCTTGTGTTTACAGTTGATATACTTAAGTAGTATACACATGTTGCCTCTTTCAATAGAATGTAAGCTCTGTAAGATCAGCAAATGTTTCTTTTTTTATATTATCTTGATCACCTAGCACAGTTCCTGGGATGTTGTAGATGCTTAGTATATGCTTGTTGACTGATTAGCAAAGATTGGTGGTATGACCTTTAGTCTTTTCTTGACTGTATTTCCATTGGTCTGCCCATATGTTTCTGGGAATTCTGGTTAGTGCATAGCAAGAAGTCAGAAGAACCATGAAATGACAACTGTTGGGATGAGTAAATCTTTAAAATTTCAAAACAACTTAGACTGTGTGGATATTTATTATTTGGAAGTATTTTTTAGACCTTTCTAGGTTTTCAGTTATTTGAATGTGTAGTCTATGGGAATGTACTAGCAGAGACAGCATTGTATCAACCTAATTATTTTCATTTATATTACCTATGTAATGAATTATTTATACTTTGAATTTTCCTTGTATTATAATATTTATATAGACTTGATTCCGTTTTTCTTCTGTATCCCAAATGTAAGCATTGCTTTTGCTATCTTTCTCATTTTGGTCTTTTTCCTGCCCTTGACCTGAGCCTTGGACTGTCAGTGTCTTTGGAGACTGTTTCATGTGCTAGACACCATGTGCCCTGAGCAGTTATGCTAGTCAGTAGAGGCCTTGTCTTTATCCAATGCATCTTGCCTATATTTATAATTTTGTAGAGACTATGCTGCTACAAAGAAAAGGACTCATGAATACAGCACAGGTTCTTCCCAAATTACAGAATTGATGGTACGTGGGGGGGGGGGGGGGGGTTAGGACTCAATGCCACCTGTGGCATTTTCAGTGCATAGATAACCCAGAATGGGAATGACCAAAGTGGCGTATTGATTTTGACTACTTTTTGAAGTAGCAAAGAGCCTGTGGAGTCAGGGATCTAACTAGTATACCCTGAACCATATTTCCTTTACGTTGCTCCCTACTGCCACTGCCATCTGACTCAGCCAGATGGTGATAAGCAAAAGTTTGATTCCATCCAATAGCCACTAACTGACAATAACGAAGTACCAGCCTTTTGATCTTACGTAGGGAAATGTCTTGCTGGCATTATCTTCATATCTTGAGTATTTGGGGAAAGATAGCGGCAAAATAACTTTTAAGAGACCTCTTTTCTTAAAGTAAGGGATTTTGAAAGGTGTAGATATTATCAGGGAGGGAGGGACTGACTTCTTGTCACTCTATTTCCAGCTTATCCCTCTGCAGGAATTGATAAATTAACAGAAAAAACTTGAATCTTATAACAGTGTAGAGCAAATTTGTCCCTAAATGACCAGTTTTGTAAGGTCAGATATCTTTTACTTTTGGTTTAGCAAAGATTATCTATGTGGATAGTAGAGATATGTATTGCTTCTTGAAATATGAAAAAATTAAAATCAGATAAATATAGAAGATGGTTATCTACATGTACAGAAGAAATATTGGCCTTTAAAAATCTTTACCACATGTTTCCTTTAAGTAAATGTTACCTTAGTGTATTTAATGCATGATTGGATTTAAAAATAGGAAATTTACACAGATAGTTCAGGAACACATAATTGTATAAAGTGAGAACGTTGTTTTGGTGGCAAAAGCATTGTAGTAATTCGGATTTCCCAGCAGATGTCCTCAAAGTGAGTCTTGTAAAGCATTTTTTCCCTGGCATTTAGTTTTCTATTTTGCTATGTTATGATAATCTTAATGTTATGTTAACATATAATTTGAGCTATAAAACTATAATTTTCTTTTTTTCTTTTTAGCTCCATTTACCTCTTAATTCACCTTTGCCTGGAAGTGAATTGACCAAGGAACCTTTCCGCTGGGATCAGAGACTCTTTGCATTAGTGTTGCGGTTGCCTGGTACCATGGCTGTTGAATCAGAGCAGTTGACAGGTGTGCCTCTAGATGATTCTGCAATCACACCAATGTGTGAGGTGACAGGAGGTAAGGTTTTTGATTTAAAAATAAAAACAAAACCCTTAGTTGGCGCTAATCTAAGAGCATTTTAAAATTCCTCCAGTCACTGAGGGCCTCTGGCTTTCATGGACATTTTGTTTTATTTATCTATTGATTGATTGGCAGTTGGTTAAGTGGCTTGCCCAGGGTCACACAGCTCGCAAGTGTCAAGTGTTTGGTCTAAGGCTGGATTTGAACTCAGGTCCTTCTGACTTCAGGGCTGGTGCTCTATCCACTGTGCCACCTAGGTGCCCCATTTTCATGGACACTTTGAATAGCAGTATTTCATGCTCCTTAACTAGAAAATGGAAGTATTCAAAGCTGCTTAGATGTTGTTCATGAGTATTGAATAACTAGTATGAGCTTTACAATGTAGAGTTATTGGACTGGTATGGTAGAAAGAACTTGACTCTGGGGTCAGAGTTCAAATCCTATCTCTGATATCATCCGGGGGACCATGGCAAGTCACTTCACTTCTCTGGGCTTCAGTTTTCTCATCTACAAAATGAAAGGGTTGAATTAGATGCCTCTGAGTATCCCTCCAGAGCTAGATCTATGAGCCCTAAAATGAAGGTATGCATAAAGGGGAAGGAGTCTTCCCCACATTAGTTGCAAGCATTGAAGTTAGATTTGGTGTATGAAAGAGCTTCCTGCAAAGGTTGTTTATTGGACCAAACCATTGAGGAAGATTGCAGAATACTTCTAATTGAAAATATTTTAAGAATAGGCTATCCAAGGACATAAGTGCGCAGTTCATCTTAGAGACAAAGGAGGTAGGAAAAAGTCTCTTAATTCAACCTTATATTCCACTTAAAAATCAGACTACTTAATTACTATGTGAAGTGGATATTAATAAACAACTCAAAAGGTCACAATGGTCAAGAGATGTTTGCAAACTGTGTCATGAACCAATTTGTCTGAGATATTCAGATGTAAAGTTAGGTATATTGTTGTTACCTACCTTGTCACCTTGACCATTGGACATCTTAAATTGTGTGTGTGCTTGTGTGTGTATATGGTTGAATGAATAAAAAAAAATTTATTAAGCATGTACTAAGTGCAAAGCACCAGCAGTACAAATAGAAAAAGTAAGAATCTTTGATTTCAAGAAACCTCACTTTGTCATGGGAGTAGACAACACACATAGGCAGTTTCTTCTGTAAGTCAGATGTCAGGGCCCAGCAGCCCTTAGCAAGCAGTATTGTATCATCTGTCATGTCATTTTCATTAATAAAAATGTTTCAGTTTCTGTTGGTGAACCATTTGATGATTCTGAGGACTTTGGTGACAAGTTTTTTTTCTTGTTCTTCAAGTACTTGGCTGAAGAGAAGGCAAGGGTTAGAGCTCCTGAAGAAGTAGTTGTCAGTTCTAACTTCTACAAAGGTTGCTTCCCTAGACTCAGGCTCGAAACAGTGTTTTGGGGGAGGAGAGGGAGGGGGTGGAGCTGATTGGATTTACCTTGCAATAGCTATCTGTTATCATTATTATTATTACCTTTCTTCTCAGTGGCAGTTGGTTGATATTGTTGTTGATACTAGCAGTGTTGGTGGGCCTCTTCCACTGGGCTTGCTCCGAAGGTGGTCGGGGGAGTGGTGGTGTGGTGGTGTGGTGGCTTGATCCGCCTTGTCACATGCCTCATCCTGTTTTTCCCATAGAGGTTGTACATTCATATTCAAGAATTCTGTACTGTGCTGAGCCATTTGCAGGCCTGACACAGTTTTTGAAACCTCAGGCCATAGAATTTAGAACTTGAAGAAACCTTACAGACTATGTAGCTCGACATCTTTTTTCAGATAATTGGATAATTGCTCATTGTGTTGATGATATTCCCTCGGATGTACACAATTTTTCAGAATGTTTTTTTAATTTATTAGATTGAAATACCCAAAGATTGCACATATGCCATGTACACAGGTTGAAAATTTCTGCATCTTTCTCTTAAGTTTTTTCTTTTTAACAGAATAAGTGTAAAGTTGTAGGAACATTAAGAGTGACTTAGGGCAGCTAGGTTCAAATACATTCAGGATTGTACGGCAAAGTGGCATGATCATAGAATGACCAGAAGGAAACATCATAATAAATCAGCTAGCTGGCATGGTGGACAGAGCGTTGGGCCTGGAGTCAGGAAGACTTGTGGCCTTGGACGCTTGCCAGCTGTGCGGCCCTGGGGAAATGGCCTCACAGCTCTGCCTCTGTTTCCTCAGCTGTAAAATGGGGATGGCAGTAATAGAACCCGCCTCACAAGGTTGTAGTGAGGATCAGTGAGGCATGGGCTCTGCCACAGCCTCTTCGTATGTGCTTAGTCCCACTTCCTTCCCCTTTAGGCAGTTCTGTATCAAAACAACTTTGGCTAACTATTTCTTGCACCCCCCCCCACCTTTTTTTTGAGGGGGGGTCAGTTTTTGGTTAACCTCTCAGACAGATGAGTCTACAACCTTCCCTGGTCTTGTATTTTAGTCTCTCAGGAACTGTAGGATGTTAGAAAATTGTTTCTAAAATCTAACAGATCCTTCTAGTTATACTGACAGTAGTGGAAATAAAGGAAATCTGTTTTGTCACCTTTTTATGTATGGGAAGGTTTTAAAAGGCTTAACCCTAGCTTTTCCTAGGTTAGATAAATTCATCTTTTAAGCTTTCATTGTTAGCTCATTTCAAAAATTAGAATTTTTCTTCTTTTGCTGTCCTAGATTTAATTACAATGTTACTCTAGAATTTTTTTTGTTTTGTTTTGTTCTTTGCTTTTCGGTGAGGCCATTGGGATTGAGTGACTTGCCCAGCGTCAGACAGCTAGTAAGTGTCAAGTGTCTGAGGTTAGATTTGAACTCAGGTCCTCCTGACTCCAAGGCCGGAGCTCTATCCACTGAGCCACCTAGCTGCCCCCTACTCTTGAATTTACACACTTACAGAGCCTTGTTCTGGGCTATTCATGTGTATTCATGTGTCTGCTCTAGTTTATGAGAACTATCATTGGCCAAACCAAATGAAATCTTAACTTTTAGGATTTAGGGTGTTCTTGTTAAAATTGCTTCATCTCTTTAAAAGCTTTTAATTGATTTTGATTAAATCAGTATACTGTTGGAGAGTGTCAAGACAAGTTTCATTTTAAATGTGGTTTCATCTGCTATCATAAGACAAATGGTGGTTCATAACAATTTTCAAGTGGTTACAGGTCATTTTTAATGTAGTGCAATGCATTTTGTCACATTTGTAAAAGTAAAAGGTTGCTTTACCCATCTCTTGTGACTGGCATTACTTTGAGACTGCAATATAGAACCAATAATTAACTAATGCGTATACAATTATGATGAAACAAGTCAGAGTGGAAAAATAAAGAGACTTTGTGTGAATTCATCAACGTCTGTTGATATCACTATATAGAACAAGGCTTAACCATTATTAAATGTTATACATATCCCAAGTCCTCCATATCACTCATGTACCTCATATATTTTGGGTAACAACACCATCATTTGAGTACAGTATCTCTATTTCCAAACCAGTTTGGTTTTGTAAAGTTAATTTTATTAACTGGAACTTGTTCATCATGACATTCAATGAACAAGGGACAGCACGGATATAGTTTCTAATCTACACTAATGCCAGGCCTCTTTATATTTTGTCCTCTAACCAAAGCTGTTTTTGAGTTTGTGTTTTATTATTGACTGGTGTGTTTGTATTTTTCAAAATAACCTTTTGCCAAAGGTCATCTATGCCAAATGCATATTATAACTACTTTGAGAATTTTAATATCATGTCTTTCAACTAATATTGATTGCATTTGTGAAAAGGACAACAGCCTCTATTGACTTTATAACAACTAAAATGATAAGGTTTGGATCGATGATTATTAGACAGAGTTTCAGATTCCTAGGCTTTTCGAGCTATGTTCTAATAATTTTACTCTGAAAATATCTACTTAAGAAATGTATGTTAGAATCTCTCTTTTGGTGTCTAGTGTTATTTTATTGTTAATATTGAGCTGAACTCCAAAAAAGTGACCATATTCATCTACACAGCAGAACACAGAAAGAAGATTGTATATGAAACTGTGAATCTCTTATTTCATATTACTTGCTTTAAAAAATAATTTACTAAATTCTATCCATTATTTTCAAAACTCTGCTGCTTATCTGTGTTACCTTCTGTTCTCCTGTGTACTTCTTTCTTTCTTTGTTTCTTTCTTTTTGCCCTTTTTTTGGTGAGGCAGTTGGGGTTAAGTGACTTGCTCAGGGTCACACAGCTAGGAAGTGTCAAGTGTCTAAGGTCAGATTTGAACTTAGGTCTTCCTGGCTCCAAGGCTGGAGCTCAGTCCACTGCGCCTCTCCCTCTCCTGTGTACTTCTAAAAAAATATTTCAGTGGCTTTCTTTTTAAATTTCTTTCTTTCTCTTTTTTTCCCCAATTACCATTCTTCCCCTTTTCTCTTAAAGCAGAGAGGGGAAAAATAAACCTTGTAACACATAAGCACAGTCAAAAGCAAATCACATAATGACCAAGTGAAAAAATGTCTGCTTCCTTTTGCACTGTGTCTGTCACTTCTCTGACGTCAGGCATATAACATTCTAGCCCTCCAGAGAAGTGGTTGGTCATTCCTTTGATCCGAGTACTTACTGTCTTTTAGAATTGTTTTTCTTTACAGTGTCCTTGTCGTTGTATAAATCGTTATTTGGCCATTGCTCACTTCACTCTCCATCACATCCTGCTTCTCAGGAGTCATTGAAATCACCTCTTTGGTCATTTCTTACAACATAGTTATATTCCGTTCCCTTCGTTAGCCACAATTTGTTCAGCTGTTTTAGGTTTTTTTGTTTTTGTTTTAAAATTTTAAACCTTAGTTGAATCCCTAATTTCAGATGAGTGAGGTTCATCTGATTGTCCCTCTTCACCACCCCTTCACCCATACTTGTATGTGCATGTTCTCATGCAGGGCAGCTAGGTGGCACATGGATAGCGCAGGGCTGGGGAATCTGCAGCCTTGAGGTCACATGTGGCACTCTAGGTCCTCAAGTGCGGCCCTTTGATTGAATCCAAACTTCACAGAACAGATCCCCTTAATAAAAGGATTTGTTCTGTAAAACGTGGACTCAAGGGGCAGCTAGGTGGAGCAGTGGATAGAGCATCGGCCCTAGAGTCAGGAGGACCTGAGTTCAAATCCGAACTCAGACACATAACACTCAGTAGCTGTGTGACTCTGGGCAAGTCACTTAACCCCAATTGCCTCACACAAAAAAACAAAAACAAACTTGGACTCAGTCAAAAGGCTGAACTCAAGGATCTAGAAGGCCACATGTGGCCTTGAGGCCGCAGGTTCCCCATCCCTGGTAGAGTGTCAGGTCTGGAGTCAGGAAGATCTGAGTTCAAATTAGGCCTTAGAGACTTATTAGCTTTGTGACCCTGGGCAAGGCACTTAACCCTGTTTGTGTCCTCATCTGGAAAATGAGCTAGAGAAAGAAATGGCAAACCACTCTGATAGCTTTGCTAAGAAAACCCCAAATGGGGTCATGAAGAGTTGGACACTCCTGAAATCTCTGAACAATTTTCATGGACATCAATTATGAGTAATAAGTTATGCTTTTTCTTCCTCTTTTTGCTTTCTTTTCTTCTACCTTTAAAACTCTCAGAATTGAATCAGTCCACCTTTATATCCTCTTTTTCTTGTTTAACTCTCTAGATAAACTTTGAAAGCATTAAGCTTCTGATGAGACCTTTACTTCTCCCCATATTAGAATATTTCCCCTTCACCATCTTAAGAGGCAGCTAGGTGGCACAGTGGAGGGAGTACTGGACCTGGAATCATGAGGACCTAAGTTAGATCTATCCTCAGACTTAATAGCTGTGTGATTCTGGGCAAGTCATTTAACTTCTGTTGGTCTCAGTTTCCTCATCTATAAAATAGGGATTATAATAATAGTACCTACCTCCAAGAGCTGTTGTGAGGATAAAATGAGGTATTTGTAAAGTGCTTTGCAAATTTTGAAGTGCTATACTATGCTTATTATAATCATACAGTTCTTGCTAAATTCTGGTCTTTTCCCCAGGAATCCTTGAAATCCTGTTCCTTTAAAAGCCTTTTTTTTATACATAGTTTTATAAGGTATGGGGTGGTGTTTTTTTTTGTTTTTTTTGTTTTTTCATTGTAAGCCTGTATCTTTTGCTTCTTGTTGTATTAGGTTCCTTTGCTAACCTTTACTTCCCAGGGTTAGATCTACCTGCGTATTTGAGGTTCAGAGTCCTAAGGGTCTGGGGGGAAATTGGTCTTCATGCTGCCATGCCCAGACTAGCCTCTCCTTCTTATGGTTCCTGCCTGTAATGGTCCCTTCAAAGATTCCCCAACATGCTACCTTGTAGGTTTCCTTACACTGTGGACCTTTTTTTTTGTTTTTGTTTTTTTTTTAAGGCAGTTGGGGTTAAGTGACTTGCCCAGGGTCACACAGCACCATGGGCCTTTTTTGGGGAGAATGCTCTGTTGCCACTGATTGTGGTTGTAGAATCTTGCAGGCTACATGTGTCTGGCCAATTTGTAAGGTTGTTATATTGTTGGCTTGAGCTGGAATGGCTGGCTTTTCTAGAGGTGACCTCCTTTCTGTTGCCTGTGTGCTTTTGGAACACATTTTTGTATAGTTCTGAGATTGAGGAAATCAACTTACTGTAGTTCCTTATTGAATTTCTTGATCATTATTTGATCTGCTGTGATGTTTCATGTTTTCTTGGAGTTTCAAGTAATTGAGTCCAAAGAACCCATTAAGAATGCAAAAAGGAGAGTTTATTTGTGATAGGGCTGAAGTTTAAACATTTCAGTTGGGGGGAAAAATCCCTCCCCCCCAAATGTATATACAAGTATTTGTGCATGTGTGCCTCAGCTACCACTCATTATTCACATGTAAACTCATCCTAAGGTTAAATGACATCACCGAGGACAGTTTGTTCCATAGGAAAAGAGTGAAACAGGAGCTGAATCTTCACCACTCTGGTGGAGAAGAGATTTGAAGGAAGGAAGACACAGGGTGGCTGCCATTCAGGTTAAGAAATGCCATTGAATGCCTGCCACATGCTTTTCCATGGTTTGTTTGTAACCTACTGAATAAAAGAGCTTGTAATTCAGTGTCCTCTATGATCTGAAACAAATGACATGGTATAGTAGAGTGGTTCTTAGCCTAGTGTCTGTGAACTTGTTTTTAAAAAATACTTGATATTTATATTTCACTATAATTAGTTTCCTTGGTAATCCTATGTATTTTATTCTGTGAACCTAAAAACATCATGTTGAGAGGGGGTCCATTGGCTTCACCAGAGGACATGAAAAATTAAGAACCTCTGGTATAGTGAAAGAGGACTGGCCAAGGAACCAGGCCTGAGTTTCAGTCCCAGTTCTGGCAACTCTGAGAGGGTTGCTTAATGTCTCTGAGTACCAGTTTCTTCATTTGTATGAAGTTATATCATTAGTTATATCATAGGGTCATTGTAAGGAAAATGCTTTGTAAGCTTTAATGTCTAGCTCCCCTTGGATGTGTTCTCCTTTCTCACTAGAATGTAAGTATCTGTGGACGAGAACCATCTTGCTTATATGTATATCCTCAGCACTAAGCACAGTGACTGGCACATATGGTAAGTGCTTAATAAATGCTGTTTTATTCATTAATACACATTTTAGCTATTACCATTTGTTATTAGCTTTTAACAGACTCTAAAAACTGGAAGGGACTTCCCAGGGCTATGCAGTTTAATTTATATCTACACGAGATATTCTACAATGAGTAGTCATTTGGTCTCAGCTGAAAGATACAGATTAAAAACTCATCTTTGGAGGCAGCACATTCCACTTTAGAATAATTTTGATGGTTTGAAAAATTTTCCTTCCATTACACCTAAATTAGAAACACCTAGTAGCATAATGGATAGAGTAGTAGATCTGGAGTGAGGAAGACATGAGTTCAAATATAGCTTCAGACACTAGTTGTGTGACCCTGGGCAAGACACTTAACCTCTGTCTGCCTGTTTTCTCAACTGTACAATGAGGATTACAATAGCACCTACCTCCCAGGGTTGTTGGGAAGATCAGATGAGATAATATTTGTAAAATACTTAGCATGGTACCTGGCACATAGTAGGTACCATATAAATGTTTATTCCCTTCCTCCTCCCTCTATCTGCCTCTCTGATGCTCACACATTGTTCCAGGTGTGTGAGTGCAAGGACTTGGAGGAGGCAGTGTAAGGGGGAGAGCCCCAAGTTCCAAGCACTTGGGTTCAATGCCTGGGTTGCTAAGGCACATGGCTTCTTTGCTTTAGTTTTCTCATCTGTAAAATAAGGGGTTGTGATAGATGACTTCTGGGGTTCTTTCTTGTCCTAAATCTGTGATCCCTTGATTATGCCTGGTCTGTTTGAGGCATTTTGATGTAGTAGGAAGAACACTGGACTTGGAATTACCAGGAATGGACCAGGGTTCAAATCCTGATTTTGACCCTAACTGCATCTGCTGGTCAGTAGCTGAAAGAGGCAGGATGCGTGGCATTGAGGTTCGAGGTGCTGAACTTGGAGGCAGGAAGACCTAGATTCAGATCCTGCCTCAGACCTTACTCTGTGACTCTGCTTGAGTCGTCTAACTTCTTCCATCCTTTAGTTTCCTTACCTGTTAAAAGAAGGTAATATCTATAGCACTTACCTCAAGGAGTTCTTATGAGCATCAAATGACAGTGTATAGAAAGCACTTTGTAAACCTTAAAAACAGTATGTAAATGTAATTTTTTCTTGGTAGAAGTAATTAGCTTTCTAGGTTATGGTTTCCTCATCTGCATACAGAAGATAAATGGTTTCACTATATATTTTGCCAGATTCTTGTAAGGAAGGCATTTTGTGTACCTTAAGGTGTTGTGTAATTGTATTTGCTGATAACTTTGTGTTTTTCCCCAGTACTATGCATATAGTGGACATGGTAAATGTTGAGTTAAATTGAATATTCCTAGCTTTGGTATACCTCAAGTTTTGTTTTGGTTATATTTCAAGGAATTAGAGAGAAGTAATCTAATTATTATATAGCCATTAAAGGAAATATATTACATATAATATTTGTAATTTGCATTAAGTATATGTAATTTGTGATAGGGTTGTGGTGTGGAGAGATCACAGTTCCTGGTCCAAAAATTAAGTTAGTAAAAATTTCTAAAATGCATGTTGAATGAGTGTTGCTGATTGTTTATAAAATCTCTTCTTGTAAAAGGTAAAGAGATGAGTCAAAATTGACTTTTAGTCAGGAATGAGATGGTCATTTCATTCATTCAGCATTAAATGTCCTCTGTGTGCACAGTAGAGAGTTTGGCTCTGGGAAGGGTGCATTTTAGAAAAGTTCTCGTTCTTGCCCTTGTAGAATTTATAGCTCTTGATCTGTCTGGTAAAGGCAAGGACTTTGATGGCTAACTAGTTTTTGTCCTGTTTTTGTATTTTAGGCCGCTCATATTCTGTGTGTTCTCCAAGAATGCTTAATCAGTGTCTGGAGTCCTTGGTGCAAAAGGTGCAAAGTGGGGTGGTGATAAACTTTGAAAAAGCAGGACCAGATCCTTCCCCCATAGAAGGTACTGTAATTTCCTAGTAGATTTTTAAAGTAAACATTGTCAGTTGTAAAATTAGAACTGAGAAATTATATTGGTATGGCAATATACTGAGATGTTAAAACTTTAATGGTGACCAAGAGGGTGTTTATATAAACTAGATAATGAAGGACTGACTTCTCCACCACCTACTTGTTATTGACAGTGTGGAAAAAACCCATTCATTTGTTTGGGTGTGAAAGGTCAGGGTTAAGCCTGGACTGTCATGTTAGATCTACTTCTTTACCTGTACGAAGCCTTCATCTAGACTCACTCTCAGTCTCTTGAGTCTGTATACGATAAGATTTTTTAGACTTTTTAAAAGCCATGAATGGGTGAAGAGATAGAACTCAACAGGCAAAATTTTACCTTTGTTTTTCTTTGAGGCTCTAAGGGGTCAATCTCAGAAGTCTGAAAGTTGTTAGTAGAGGTGATCTATTAGGAGTAGATGATAATAGATATTTTGCAGGTTTGGTAACTGTAGAACTTTAATGCTGTAGTGGACAGTGTTACTGTGGTAGTGTTGCACAGTTTAGTTGCTTTTGAGTATTTTCTTACATAGTAACAAAATTGTTAGGGGATTCATAGTCACTTTGATTTTACTATTTAAATTTATGTGTCAAATTTTTAATGATAAATGCATTTTTTGTACTTTCTTAACTACAGATGGACAGACAGAACTATCAAGACCTTTTGGATCTCAACCTTGGCACAGCTGTCATAAGCTTATCTACGTCAGACCAAACCCTAAAACTGGGGTTCCAATAGGTCACTGGCCTGTTCCAGAATCCTTTTGGCCAGATCAAAATTCTCCAACACTAGTAAGTGTCAGAAATAGTGTGGTGAGAAGCATGTGAAAACAAATCTTGTTGCATTGTGTTCATTTTAAATCGTGGATGGTCAGTATATATAATCAAGACAAGTAACGGGTGTGTCTCTTTGAGGGAGAAATGCATTCTATTAGAGGATCAGTATACCAAATTGTTCATTGTGGAGTAATTGTAGAAAAGAGTAGTCTTTTTATTTTACAAAGTAAAACTGTACGTAAGATTTTTACTTTCAGCATCTGGCTACGTGACCACAAATGCAGATGTATTATCCTTAGATCGCTGGATTTTAAACATGAAGACTTGATTTCAGTATTTATTGTTTTGGGCCAAAAATAGGCCATATTTCCCCTCATGTCTACTACCAAATTTAGCTTGTACAAAACCTGAGTGAGTTCACAATTAAGGTAATAAAAGTGAAGATAGTGGTGATGCTATAAAGGAATGCAACTTTTGAATGGAAATAAATATTTTTAAAGTTTCACCAAATCTCCATTAGAATGTACCTCAGAAACATCTAGTCCAAACCTCCCTTCTGCAGCACGCATGGTAAGTGCTCATCCAGGAGTAGAGCACCTGCAAACCTCCTGAGGGAGAACATTGTCCTTCTTGATGCTCTCATTGTTAGGAAGGGTTTCCAGACAATAAGCCGAGATTGTGTGTGCTTTTTATTTTACGTTTATAAATATCTGTAGATGTTTTTGCTTGTTTGTGTATTTGCATGCATATATGTGGACACAGGGCAGCTAGGTGGCGCCGTAGTGCATAGAGTGCTGGGCCTGGAGTCTGGAAGACTCCTCTTTGTGAGTTCAGATCTGGCTTTAGGCACTTAATAGCTGTGTGACCCTGGATAAGTTACTTCACCCTGTTTGCCTCAATTTCCTCATCTATTAAATGATTTGGAGAGGGAAATAGCAAACCATTTCTGCATCTTTGCCAAGAAAACCCCTTCAAAAGGGAGTCTCAAAGAGTCGGATATGACTGAAAAATAACTGAACAACAAACATATGTAGATATACATCTCTGTCTCCTCATGTATATATACCCATCAAAGCAATGTCATTTTGGTAATGTATTTGTATGGATGTGATCCTGTATTTGACACAGTAAGTTAAAGAACTAAAGAAATAATTCTGAGTATTCTGTAGTACCTTAGAAATTATCCAAGGGTACTTTATATATTCAAACAAGTAATTTATAATTGACTCAATTAAATCCAAAATAATCCCACCCCTCCCCCAGCTAAATAGTTTATTTAAGTTTATGGTAAGTTAGGTACAATTTCCATTTTCATTAGTAGTATATAGTATAGTGGGGGTGGGGTGTGGTTGATAGAGTGTAGACCACATAGTTTGAAGCTGGTAGCCAGGAACTTATTATGTAGAGCTTGGAAGGTAAGAATATATGAGTTTGTAGTTACTGATATTTTTCTCATTTGACGAAAGGTCTGTGATTGTTCCAAGAATTTGTTACACTCCCTTATTTCAGTTATGTTGAGGATCATTCCCTTGATGCTCTCAAAACTGTATTGCCTCTAGCTTGGACCCTTGAAGATTTGGTCTCGATCAGTTTATCATCTTTCCGCCCTCCTTTTCTTTAGTACTATTTCTACTCCCTCGTACAGCACGTCAGGGACTGTAATTTTAGAGTCCAAATGTGGATACTGCAATAGATGTTGCTCCATAAACTGCAATTATTTTCTTGGTGGTTATTTTGCAGATGTTTATCATGAATAATGTAATAGGAGATGACCAAGTGTCCTGTGAAATGATGTTTATTTTTACCTGTGGATGCCTGATAAAACTACCTCCGTCAGCTCATAAATGTGCCTCTCCAAGGAAACCTGCAAGCTAGCCTTGCATTTAACTGCCACTGCCTTTTTTCTTTTTGCTTCGTGTACAGAAGTTAAGGTTTACATGATTTGGTCTATATGAAGCCCAAACCAAAACATATAAAGGTGCTTGCCTTCTCAAGGAGGGGCGAAGGGCAGGAGAGAATTTGGAACTCAGATTATTTTAAAAAAGAAAAATATCATTTGGGAAGAATTACTTTGTTTAACTTTTCAAACACCTTTTTTACTTGAAAGAAAATGTAAGTAAATCAAAATTAATAAATATTAAAAACACTAAAAATATTAAAACCAGTAAGGGTTTTGTGACTTGAAAATTTTTCCTTCCATTACACCTAAATTACAAGCACCCCAGGTAGCATAGTGCTAGAGTGCTAGATCTGGAGTGAGGAAGACATGAGTTCAAATCCAGCTGCAGACACTAGTTGTGTGACCCTGGGCAAAACACTTAACCTCTGTCTGCCTGTTTTCTCAACTGTAAAATGAGGATTACAATAGCACCTACCTCCCAGGGTTGTTGGGAAGATCAGATGGGATAATATTTGTAAAACACTTAGCACAGTACCTGTCACATAGTAGATACTATATAAATGTTTATTCCCTTTCCTCCTCCCTCTCTCTGCCTCTCTGATGCTCACCCGTCGTTCCATTATTGTAGTTACCTGCGTTCTCTCCTATAAGCTTCGAGGTGTGGGAGTGCAGGGAGTTGGAGGAGGCGGCGTAAGGGAAAGAGCACTGAGTTCCAGGCTCTTGGGTTCAGTGTGGTAGGCACTTGGCTATCGTATTTCAGTGGATTACAAAGCTGAAAATGTGACCTCCTGTTCTTTGCCCTTCTGTTGTCTTAGTTCTGTACTTTTCGTCTTTCACTTTTGTACAGCTTGTGTACCACCTATCGTAGACTGTCAGAACTGAAAGAGAAACCTGCTGCCTCACTTTATGGAAGTTAAAATATTTACCCAAGATTACACAGTAACTAGTAGCAGATTTGCCAGAGCCCAGAAAATTCTGAGAGATAACAGATAAAGGGCACTAAAACTGCTTTCCCTCCGTATAGTATTCATTCCATTATATCATCCTGAGCAAAAGTGACCACTTCTTTTGTAAGCATTGTATGTAAATAAGGAAGAATATTTGAATGAGAACCCTTGTTCATCTTATTTTCCTTGGTATCACCTATTAGGTAGTTAGAAGTGAGAAGTTCTCTGATTTAAAAGTTATACTTAGTGGAAACATGCCATCGTTTTCTTTACCCATTGTTTGCTTAACCTAGTAGGAAAAGGTTTCTTTGTCAGGGAATAATGTATTAGTGGAACCAGTATAGTGAAATATTCCAGGATTGGGAATTGGAAGCCTGGTTCCTCTTCCTCTTCCCCTCCCCCCTATTTTTTTTTTTTTTTTAATTCACTTAATTGTGTGATCTTAGGCAAGTTCCTTTTCCACTAGTCTTTTCTGGGCTTCCTTTTCCTCAGTTATAAAAATTATAAGATTAGATGATCCCTCCCATTTCCTAACATTTTCTTTTCATATGACTTTGATATATGAATTGAATAATTAAATCTTTCAAGATGGGAGGAGCAAGGTCCTACTTTGGAACATCATAGAATCATATTTAATGCTGGAAAGGATATTAGAGGTCATCTGATCCAACCAGATCTACTTGATCTGTGGTGGTTATTACAGTGATATTTAACAGATGTTAGTAGTAGCTATTAATAGGCAGCTTGAGAAAGAAATTGTGAGAAGAGTTGAGTTCCATAAGATTATGGAGTCGATTTGTAAAATGGAGAGTATGGCTCTGGAAGAAACCTTTAGTTGAATGCCCTGTTTTGTTTTATTTTGATTTGTTTTAAATGAGGAAACAGAGACCAGGGAGGTTATGCTTTCTCTGTGTGCACATTGATAAATAAGTAGCAGAGTCTACATTTGAATGTAGGTCCTCTAACTCCAAATCCTGTGCTCTTTTACAGTATCATTGTCCATCTGTGCCCATCCTATTTTTCTTTTCTTCTTTTGTGACATTTATAATGTGACAATATTAGACTTCAGTTTCTGTCATGAATTCATGCTTAATCTAGGATGTTAAAAAAAAAAAAGTCACAGAATCTTAAAGTTGGAAGGGACCTTACAGTTCATCTAGTGCAATAGGATATTTCAGTCCTCAACTGAGAATTCCCTCTATAACGTCCCCAACAGAAGAGCGTATTAGTAATTTCTATGTAAGTCTTTATTAGTGTTTGAAAAAGTGTATAGGTATGAATTTGTCATAGAGCTCTGTTTTTTAATTGATATTAACATAAAATGAATGGGTAATAAATTGAAATGAAGATATGTTTTTAAATTGCTTTAGAAGTATCTTCAATGTATAGAGAAGTTTTTTTAGTTAATTGATTTTGATTTATCAGCAATCACTTCCATAAGCTTTTGAGTTCTAAATTTTTCTCCTCTTTCCCTGCCTCCCTCCCCAAGATGGTATACACTATACATATACATTCCTATTAAACATATTTTCCATATTAGTGGTGTTGTAAGTAAGAATTAGAACCAGAAAGAGGAAACAAAACACAACCGAAGAAAAAAATAGCAAATAGTATGCTTCGATCTGCATTCAGACTCCATAGTTCTTTCTCTGGAAGTGGATGGCATTTTCCATCATGAGGCCTTTGGAGATGTCTTAGATCCTTGTATTGTTGAGAAGGGCTAAATCTTTCAATAATAGTTATCGCACAACGTGGCTGTTAACTATGTACAACGTTCTCCTGGTTCTGAAGCTCGCTTCACTCAGCATCGAGAAGTTTTTGTGTGTATTATTGTATTATGCACTAATTTATTAACCTGTTTTGTAGGAAGATGCTTATGTGTTGAGATAGTGGGATGATAGGATAGAAAGTTAGCATGCAACGAGACTGAAGAGCTAAGAAATAATTTTGCATAGTCTGTTATCTTGAATATCAGGATGTGTTTTATAGCAAACTAGATTTGGACTATTTTGGTAATTTGGGGGTGGATCTGAACCTGTAATTTTTCCATTGAGATCTCAGTATGGAAACTACTAAATGCAGATCCATAATATATCCTTAGAGAGTTGCTTGCAGTTCTGAAATTTTAAGTAACTTGCTGATGCCCACAAATCTAGTATGTATCAGAGGCAGGATTTGAACGCTTGCTCTTCCTAATTTTGAGACTAGCTGTCTTCAGTACACTGCTCAGCCTCTCCTTGGGTGAGTCTGTATTGGTCATTATAAAGATCACAGGTGACTTCAGAATGTCCCATTATTCTTCTTCAGTGCTACATCAGCATTGCTAACATTTAAACTTCCAAGTTATTTTAGTTTGTCCTCAAAAGAGAAGTCCCTCAGTTGACCTTGATTACTTTATGTTAATTGCTTTCTGGACCTTTTATGAATCTATCGCATTTTTCATGTAGTGTAATAGCCAGAAATACATGCACTATTGTATTTTGGTTGTAGTGTAGTGTTTTACAAAGTCATTCATAACTGGCCTGTTTGTTGAGTTCATACATGAAGGGCAACAGCAGGGATAGTGAATGGTATCAAAGGCAGATCTGTACTTGGGGAGTAGATAATGAAGGCCTTTGTGTTCAAGAAGCATATGATTTAGTAAAATCATATAATCTCAAAGTTGGAAGGAGAGAAGGGAATCTTAAAAGCTATCATAATCTCATTTTTAGATGAGGAAAAACATCATTTTAGATGATTCATAGGAATAAATCATTTTGCCTAAGGTTACATAGCAAGTTACGGCACAGCCTAGACCTGGACTCAACACTCTTTACAGATAAAACATAAACACAGATAGTTTTGAGTCAGCTTGTACCATAAGAGTGGTACAAAAAGCAATGGGAAGAGAGGGAGCAGAGATTACTTCCATTGGAATTGATTTGAGATGACTGTAAATCAAATTATGTTTATGCCGGGTCTTGAACGACTATTTCCACAGGCAGAATTTAGACAGAATATCCAAGTAGAGGGAGAAGTGTGGGCAAAGGTACGGAAAGAGAGAAGTGTTATTTGCTAGGAATGGTGAGTCCAGTTTACTAGACACATAGGTTTTGTGTTGGTATGGGGACATTGGCGGGTTGTTAAAATGGAAAGTTAATATGGACATTCACACTGAAAGGCTAAGGAGTTTGGACTTTGTTCAGTAGGTACTGAGAAGCCATTTAAGTTCTTGGGGTTTTTTTAGCAGGAGAGTGAAAAGAGAAAATCTACTTTTTTAAGCTGAAAGATTTTGTATGTTAATTATTGAGAGAGAGAAGAGGAGGCTGGAGGCTGGGAAGCAATTAGAGCAGTCTGTAAGCAAACTAATGCAGACACGGCAGAAGGATTGGAAAGGTAGGAACAATGTTTCAAAAGAAGATTTTAGAGCATTTAATACTTAAATACAATGATCTAGGAAGAGTAAAAAGTGGCGCTTGATAGTTTGAGGTTGAGTGACTAGGAGAATGGTGATTCCATTAATGGAAAACTATAGAACTTGGGAGTTCTGAGTGGGAAAGGATGACCAGATTGGTTTTAGATGTTTTCTCAAGTGCAACATCCAGGCAGAGCTGTCCACAGGCAGTTGTATGGAATTGTCTCAGAACAGGTTTTCATCTTGTTTTTGTATTCCTGGAACCTAGCATACCTTGAACATACTAGGAGCTTGATGAATGATCATTGAGTTGGATTGAATAGCGTACATCTAGAAATGAAATGAGAAAGAGGATAAGATTTAGGCTGTTAAGAAAAACTGAAGACAGTGAAAATGGTATGTGGCTGTGTGAGTGTGTGTGTAGCTATATTGAGGGGGGGAAAGAGGTGGATCAGAGATCAAAGAAGTTACAGTAGGACTGCTGATGTGAGTGAATGAGGTAATTGACTACAGAAAGAAGCCAGAGTCGTCCAGTTACTATTTTAGTTATGTTTTTCTCTGCCCAACCAAGGACTGGGAAAGATAGAGTAAGTATGGCTGAAAAGGGAGATAGGATACTCAAGATAAACAAGGAGAACTAGTAAGAGCAACTTGCTGCTCTTTGCTTGGTCCAGGTGAACTATGTTCTTAGGCGCTACAAGAACTAAGAGAGGTGATTGCTGAGAGTAAGAAAGGGAGTTGAGGCAAGATGTTTTCTTTTTCTGTATTAGAAATAAATTTATTCAGCACCTGCTGCGTACTAGGTGCTGTGGTTGATCTTGCTCTCCAGAAGAATACAGTCTTGTCAGGTTTATTAGACATGGAAAAAATAGTGCAGTTAAGTCATTTACAGGTTTCACTGATGTCATTGAAGACGTTTAGACACTCAAATAGAAAGTACATTATTTAGTCTGTTTTATATGTCTGAAGGAAAAGTCAGTGCCTTTATATGCCTCAGGAAATTTTGTTTTAGATAACAAGTCAGGTGTATTTACTGCCTTTGAAAATAGTAATCCATGTCTTAACTTCCATTGTTCCTAGTTGTTAGTAAAGCAAATGCTTTCTTGATCATTTCATGTTTTCTAATCACAATGAGAGATTTCATAGCTTTTGATAGTAGTTCAAAAATGATCTTTAAAAATAATAAGATAATTAATAGCTCCTGTTTTGTCTATAAGTCAATGTTTTGAATTTTTATTAGGAACAAATACTTGATAACAAGTTATCACTTAGATTCTGCTTTCCTGGTTAGGTCAGATGTTGCCACCACACAAACAGTAAGAATTTTTTTGCTTTGTGGTTTTCGTTACTAAACAGAAGGCTATTTCTCAGAATACAGCTGATTTATTTACCACGTTGTTGTCCAACTGAATTGTTTTGTTAGTAAGCAAATATTATATGCTATAACATAGTCATTAGTTATGGTCAGCTTTGTGACTAATTTCAGACAAACTATCTTAGTGATTTCTTTAATGTAAATACATAATATAATAAATAAAAAAAAAAGTATTCCTTCCCTTCCCACCTTCCCCTCTGCCTCCATGTAAATTTTTCTTGAACTATACATTTTCCCTTATACTGGGATTTTTAGGGAACAGAAATTAGTAATAGTGAAAGGAGAGAAACTTAAACGTTTGGAAATGGAAAGGAATATTTTTTCCTCTGGATATGTAATTTAATTGCATTATTAAATGTCATATTTAAAGTATAAGATTGATCATAGATTTAGAGCTAGAAGGGACCATTGGTGGGTATCCACTGCAACCCCATTATTTTATAGCTCATGTGGCCTCTTGTTCTTGATGTATTTTCATTGAGAATGGGTAAGAGTTGTTTAAAGTGTTTTGATGATGAAAGTCATATCTTTCTGTTCAGCCACCTCGGACATCACACCCTGTGGTGAAGTTTTCTTGTACTGACTGTGAACCAATGGTTATTGATAAACTGCCTTTTGACAAATATGAATTAGAACCTTCACCACTGACCCAGTTTATCCTGGAAAGGAAATCCCCTCAAACCTGTTGGCAGGTAAGCTAAACATTAAAGTGATTTAGAAATAAATTGTATATTTTAGAAATTTTTAATTGATAAATCATTAGTAGCAGTTTAAATTCAATGTTTATCAGTTTTACCAAGTTTTTATAACTCTTTTAACAGGTATATGTGAGCAATAGTGCAAAATATAGTGAACTTGGTCATCCTTTTGGTTACTTGAAAGCTAGTACAGCATTGAATTGTGTCAATTTATTTGTGATGCCTTATAATTATCCAGTCCTCCTTCCTCTTTTAGGTAAGTAATGCTTGTAAAATTTCCTATAGTTCAGTGTATGAAAAATAATTTTTGAAAAACAAATTTTGAAAGTTGTTTCTATTAGTAATATTTCTTCTAACATTGATTATCTTTTGGAAGTGTATACATTACTGAAAATGTGTTAATCAAAGGAAGTCCATAACAGTTACTTGCATCTTTATAAAATGAAAAGGTGTATATGTATGTATGTATGTATACATATGTGTATGCACTTTAATTTGAAAATGTTTTTCTTTGCATGAATTTAACTGCCTTATTTTCTCTCTGACAGATATTAAAAATCAAAGTGTTATTTGACCCAAAATAATGATATAGTAAACGTTCAAAATTGTTGGCTTCTAGACACCTCTAATATTGATGCTCAGCAGCACAACTATTAGAGATGACCCCTTTCTACCCCTACAATCATCTCAGGCTAAATAATGGTGGTTACAGCACTGTTATCTATATATTCTGTGGCGAACCCTCTCCCTCATGTTGGTAACTCCTGGGATCTGTTATGTCTAGATCTTCAGTATTTAGGTGATGTATTAAATGGGTTTTCACTATATTTTTGTAACCCTACCTTTCTTTTCACAAAATTTTTGTTTGAAACCTTAGTTCATAGTTATTCAGAACTGTCTCCCATGTTTCAGTCTGCATTTGAAATGTCTTTCCAAGAGAAAAGACTAGAAATCAGGAATTTCATTGAATGGTAACTGGTTCAGGCTTATATCTGACTTAACTTTTTTACAAATCTAAAGGTACATGCTTTTAAAATAATGAATTTGATTTTTTTTTGTAAAATAATAAATTTGAAACTGGCTTTTGTATTTCTAAATACTGAAAAGTGGTGGTTTCTCGATCTTATACATTTTTAGATGACTTGTTCAAGGTGCATAAAGCAAAGCCAACAATAAAGTGGAGACAGTCATTTGAAAGTTATTTGAAGACCATGCCTCCCTACTATCTTGGGGTAAGATTATGAAAATTTTTTTTTTTAAATAGAGGGTATTTAATTATATTAAATTATTTTATTAACATTTTGTACTATCATTTGTTTAGATGACCATTGTATAATAATTGCAAAGGATGGTATTCAGAAACTTGCAGCAAATTGATATAGTAGACTTAGGGTCATGGTACCTGAGTTCAACTCTTAGCCCTCATGCTTATTAGCTTTGCTACCATCATGAACACATTGCGTAGCTCTGAGCCTCAGAATTTGTCCTACTTTCCACAGTGAGAAAAGACAGTTGGCTAATACTTCCACAACATTTCTCAGGTGAATGTGTATGAGTCTTCATAAAGCAGACTATATTTACACAAAATTGCCTTGGTTATCTAGGAAATTTCATACTAGGATTGGTAAAATGAGAATGGAAGGTAATAAGTTGAACTTGGTTTCCTGAGCAGAATAAATGAGGGGCTACTTATAGCAAATAGAAAGTTGTAGATTTATATAGAGTGGGAACTTAAATTCTTTTTAGCTGGAGTTCTATTATAGATAATTTTAGATGTGTTGAAGTTGTACCTAAATGAACACTAATATAAAATACTCAACATTTTATCAGGGCTTTGGAAATGAGTGTTGGAGCTGCTCAATAGCCTATACAAATTAGGAAATTCAGGCTTGGCATACTCAAAGGAAACATGGCCATTCCATTGATCCTTCTACGGAGTTGGCAGATAGTCAATTTATTTATATTGAGAATATTTCAATAATACTGTTACAGAGCCTTGGATAACTGCTCAAGTGAGTGGTTCAATTAAGTTTTATTCAGGTTATTCGAAACATAGATGAAGAGAATTCCTCTCCGAAGCTTAGGTGATCCAGGAACCTGTCCCCAAATTAACATTAAAAACATTGTTAAATATCATTTTAAAACAACAACAACATAGCCAGAATGCTACTGTGTAATTCCAGTGATTTTATGCTTCCACTTGGCAACTGAAATTAACCCTTTCTGATGCTACTTTATCTTTTCTTCTGATAACATTCCCAGTTCAATGAAAATTTGTAACTTAGAAATTTGTAAGACCCTCACAGCTCCAGAGATGGCAGGACCAGAGTTCATCTGAGCCGTATTATAGAGGAGAGTACCAGTTTTAGAGAAGTTGTGGCTTGGCCAAAGTTACAGGAGTAGGAGTATGTGACAGAATTCATATGTGAAACCAAGTTCTGTCTCTCCAGAGCCTGCGTGATTTTTACCTTGGAGAGAAGCCATTGAGATTTGAGGCTGTCCTAAGAATGCATAGACCCAGCAGGTACTCCCAGTCCCTCCAGATCTCCATAGCAGCAGTTGTGGGTTGGGCTGCACGCTGTTGTAGTTATTTTACGTGTTGTTTTCCTGATTTTTATTTATTCCCGTATGCATCAGTTGACAAAATCTTCCCGTGTTTTTCCGAATTCTTTGCCCAGTAATTCTGTCTGTGGCTGACACGCCACAGTTGAACATTTGGTTGTGTGTGGGACTTTTCATGTCTTTGGTACATGTGTTCAGGAGTGGGATTTCTGGGTCAGAGGATGTGGTCAGTTTAGTGTCTTTTCTTGTATCAGTCCAAACTGTCTTCCAGGGCAGTTGGACCAGTTCACAGCAAAGAAATGAAATGCTGAAAATAGTGTTTTAAGATTAACTTTGAAGGGTAGAGAGCCTGAGTAAGAGAATTCAAGTAAGGTGTTGTTGCAGTTGTCTAGAAATCAGTGTAATGAAGGACCTGTCTTGAGTGAAATGTGAGGATTGAATGAATTTGAGAAATGGAAAGGAATAGATGAGTCTGAGGAATAGAAATAGTGAGGAATGTATCAATCTGAGAGACATTCTCAAGGAACGAACAATAAGATTTCTTGAAAGATTGGATAGAAGCTAAGTGAATAGGAGTTTTGTCATCAGAAATAGTCATTGGGGATGAGAAGCATTTGTACACATGGTTATGAATTAACTTTCTGACATGTTTATTTTGAGTTGATGTGACATTCAGGTGGAGGCATCTTGTCGATAATTGGGGAGAAATTGTGCAGGTGAGAGGTCAGAATTGAAGATAGAGATTGAGGAGTCAGCACAACTGTCGTGTAACAGCTGTAAAGCAAGGATGAATTTTTCAGTGGAGAGTGAATTAACAAACATTTATTAAACACATACTACTTACTGTGTGCTAGGAACTCAAGTGCTAGTGATACAAAGAAGGGCAAAAGGTGTATTGAGGCGAAGATGAAAGGAATACCTGATGGAGCCTACTAGATGTCTTTTTTCTGTGAAGAAGGTGACATGGTCACGATGATGGTTCTCCTGTATATAGTACTTTACAGGCTGAAAATGCTTTACGTACAGTCAAAACAGCCCTTTGAAGCAGGTAGTACAACTGTTCATCTTGTTTTATAGATTAGGAGACAAGCTTAGACAAGTCAAATGGCTTATTCAAGGTTACAGTGAATTAATAGGTGTCAGAATCATGATTCATCCCTACGTCTTATGACCCCAGGAGTGTTAGTCTTTCCACTGCCCCCTGCTGAGTCCTAGGCCATCCCATCTAGGGAAGGAGTGTGCTCAAGAGACAAGGAGAGATGAATAAAAAGGATTATATTTAGTAAGTTTTGTGAGCTTAACAGTTTTTATTATTGGTAATATTCTGTCCTGCATTTATTAAATACCTACTGTTTGCAAATTATTGTGCTCAGGCTCTGGGAAAAGAAAAGTTGAAAAAAAAAGTAATGGGGTTTCTGTTTCCCAGTGAGGTAGATGGAAGAGGGAATGCAACATTTTTATAGATAAATACAGGATGATTTAAAAAGGGTGGGAAGAGCACTGATATACAGACTCCTCACTGGTAGTGGTGGATTTGTCAAAAGTATCCAAATCAAATGAGTTAGTCTACAGGCAGCTAAATGGCACAATCAGTAGAGGGCAGGCCTGGGGACAGGAAGACCTGAGTTCAAATGTGACTTGACTCTTACTCATTGCATGACCCTGCACAAGTCACTTAACGCTGTTTGCCTTAGTCTTCTCATCTGTAAAATGAACTGGAGAAGGAAATGCAAACCACTCGTGAAGAGTCGGACTTGACTCAACAGTTTTTTCCCTTGGGCTTTGATGTAATGGTGTCTTTTGTTTTCAAATACTAATAATGGTTATTCGGTATATAAGTGAAACGTAACTTTACTCTTTATGATATCTTTCATGGTTATGCCTTTTAAATCGTTAAATGGCTATCTGATTATTTTACCTTTTTCTGTTTGTGCTACTGTAATTCCATTTTCTCCCTTACTGTAATATTTGAGGGGGCAAACAGACTGTTTTAAAGTTTTCAGACATGACTTTTTCTTATCCAGTAACTCAGTTCTAAAAGTCCTTTTAATATTTTAATGTAAGTCAAGATTCAGTATTGAATAAAGATTTCTGTCTTTTTTTTTTTCCTTCTTAGCCCTTGAAGAAAGCTGTTAGAATGATGGGAGCGCCTAACCTTATAGCAGACAGTGTGGAATATGGACTTAGTTATAGTGTCATTTCATACCTCAAGAAATTGAGTCAACAGGTAATGTTAATAAATAGAAATATCATTAGATAGGAAGCTACTAAAATTTTTGAACTGGAATTTAAGACAGTGAATAAGACTGGAGCCGGTCTTACTGGTTCAGACAGCTTGGCTTCACTTAAATTCAGTTATCATTAGGATGGCTCAGTACTTAAGATCCCAAATTGATATTAAGATTTTATATTTAAGTAATTTTTAAATTTATAAGAAAATGAGAAATCATTCATGGAATAAATCTTAGATAAGATAACATACATGTGGTCTGCATATACTGAATTTAGGCTTATTTTAAGGTTTTATAATTTCTTTATTTGTGATCTCATGCTAGTTTCTTTGATATAGACATTGCATGTTTGATTTGAGGTTTTTGTTGGAGGTTGTTTCTTTTTATTGGAAGTAGCATTATTTTCTTTTGCATATATTAAAATAAATGGGTTTTCTTTTTTCCTTTTTAAAGTTTCTTGGGCACACAAAAAAAAAAAACAAATCAGTAAGTTGTATCATAATGGCCATAATTCAAAGTAAATGAAGATATTGTGTCAGTTAAGTTACCTGAAAATAGTCGTCAAATGATGCTTTATCTTGCCAAATTATTAGCGTGCTATGAAATATAGTACATGCTTAGGACTTCTGACAGCTGGGAACTGCACATTTCCCATTGGAAATTGGCTGTTGACTAAAATGCTGATGGACCACTAAGAAAAGTAACCATTTACTTCTGTTTAAAAAAAAATTCCTCTGTTTAATGCCTTTTTTCTCTTTCTGGTAATCTTTATATAATTATATCACTCTCTGCTTTTTGGTATATGTCTAAGAACTTTATTGTATGGGATAAGAAGTCATGTTGGGTAAATATTCGTGAGATTTTTTCCCTCTACCTTCTCATCACTCCTGAGTGTGATTATATATTATGCATGGTTTGGTGACATTTTATAGCAACCATTAGTATAGTGTAGTAGCTGTTAACATGTCAGTCTTAAGAAATTAAAAAAAAAACTTTATGTAGTGAATTCAGCTCCTTTATGTGAAATTTTACCATGCTCAGATGACTTAGAATTGTGGTAATCCATAACCATGTGAATGAGATTTTTGTTTCTTATATATGATTTTTCATAGTGTATCACATTTTTACTGAATCTTTTACATAAGATTTAAAACTTTTTTTTATTTTTATAATCTGATAAAAATGTTTAGAATATATCATGTCAACTTCTATTTATTTTGAATTAAGGCCAAAATAGAATCTGATAGAGTCATCGGATCTGTAGGCAAAAAAGTAGTGCAGGAAACTGGAATTAAGGTCCGAAGCCGATCACACAATCTGTCAATGGCATATAGGAAAGATTTTCAACATCTGCTACAGGGAATTAATGAGGAAGTTCCTCACAGACTTCTAGACCTCAACATGAAGGAATACACTGGGTTCCAAGTTGCTTTGCTGAATAAGGTAATTGTTGTACATAATAGTACCACCTCAAATATGCTCCTTTGTTGTTGAATACAATAAACTCTCTGTTATCTGACGTTCTGCTTATCAGAACTCTGTTACCAGCACTTCCACACATTTACAGTAAGGTAATAACTGGTGTTCATGTTTACCTGAGGCACTGCACAGTTCTGAAGTATTTTCTCAATTATCAAAGATTAGTATCATTTGTGTTTGAAATAATTTATTCTGATTCTTTGAAAATTAATAATTCATGTATACCATGGAGCTTCATTAACCATATATTTCATAAGGTATAGCAATAGAAAAGACCTTAACAGTGCCATAAAGGCCTCTGACCAGTGGTGTCCTAGACCCCGCCCACATGGTTCCCGTGGTGGAAGTTTACTACTCGAGACAACCCATTCCATTATTACATACCTCTGATTATTAGAACATTCTTCCCCTTTTTGCAGACTAAACTGGTTAAGTAGAATATTCTGTTCTCTAACCATTTCACAGATAAGAGAGTTTACTGTATTTCTATTACATTTGTGAAAGTATTCATTTCAATTTTCCCTCTTAATACTTTAACCTTAGGATTTGAAGCCACAGACCTTTAGAAATGCTTATGATATACCCAGACGAAATCTTTTGGATCATTTAACAAGGATGAGATCTAATCTTTTGAAGACAACCCGTAAATATCTTAAAGGTCAAGATGAAGGTTAGACTACTGATTAATTATTTGTATTTCCTTTGTGGTTCATATAAACATGATATTATTACTACCAAGCTTACATCAGATTTTAGTACATTTTTTTCTGAATTAAAAACCTGTTCTTAAAGTGATGCTGTTGAGGTACCATTGATACCACAGAACACCTGTGTTTATAGAAGTTCTAGTCATGAATCCAGGGCCTTCTGTCCTTTTACTCAGTAACATGTATTGCTTGTTTCTAGAAAGTTGTGTTGATAGGAGGGGTAGTGGAGGAAACATGGATTTTCATAGTAGGATTTCTCACTGGACTTCAATCTATGCCAGTCAATATTAATAGTATTCTGAAAACTGAGCAAAATTGCCATAATAGAAATCATGCCAACATATTTTACATTTTAAAGACTTTATTTCTGCACTAATTTCTGTTGGGAATTTATTCTGATGAAAGTTTGATAACTAATTATATATGCAGTCTGATGAAATTAATTTAGCAGAATTTTATTTGTTGATTCTGTTTTGTTAGATCAAGTGCACAGTGTTCCTATAGCACAAATGGGGAATTACCAAGAGTACCTCAAGCAGATACCCTCTCCTCTTAGAGAACTTGACCCTGACCAGCCTCGAAGGCTACATACATTTGGGAACCCCTTCAAGCTAGACAAAAAGGTAACTCTAAAGTCTTTCTTCATATGACTGGGAGTCATTTTCAAAAGTAAATTTAAGCATAATTTCAAAATAACTAATTTCTGGAATATGAACAAAAAATGTTGGTAACTTTTTATTGCAGAAGTTAAAACAGCAATAGGAATGAATCTGTATAGTAATGCATACCTTAAAAGTCAGGCAGAATGAAAAGTTGATTTGATTCCCCCCATTCTCTTCCTTTTTAATAAAATGAACCAATGTTTAGCATAGCAATCTAGCAATCTGGACAAAATCTGACACTGAAGATATTTTTGTAATATAGTGTAATTAGTACTGATTTCAGCATGAAAACCCCACTGCTACTTCCTCTGCCTCCCTACCCCCAATAACCTTTGCTTTATAAAATAAAACTTAAGAAGCCATGTGTTTCATGCATTTTTAGCGTGAATTCTTTAAGTAATTAGGAGTCCTGTATGTTTTTCCAGGAATAAATTAACTTCTTTACTATTACAGAGGCTTCTCTCTGTTTTTTTTTTTTTTAACTGTCATTTGGAAAAGTTTTAAAATTTATTTTTTATTCTTCAGTTTTCTTTTCTTTTGGGAGGGGGTGGAAGTTTGCAAGGCAATTGGGGTTAAGTGACTTGCCCAGGGTCACACAGCTACTAAATGTCAAGTGTCTAAGGCCGGTTTTGAACTCAGGTCCTCCTGATTCCAGAGCCAGTGCTCTGTCCAATGCACCACCTTGCTGATCCTTCAGTTTTCTTTAGTTGTTTCTCAGTAAAGCTTCCATACCTTTCTGCCTTCCTCATTTCTTTATATGGCATTTTGTCCATACTGGAGTAACATTTTCTGAAGCTTATGTGAAGATTGGGATGTTTCTAAGCAATAGATTGAGAATTACTGGTATATGTTGTCTTAAACTAAAGTGAATTTAAAGATATTCAGTTTTTCATTCTGTACATATCTCTCAGTTTGTTCACGTGAGGATAAAGTAAACAGATTTTTTTCCCCTGGTTGGATTATTTAATATGTAGTGAGTGGTCTTATAGGTGTATAAGGTGTGTTTTTAATTGGAACCTTGATTTTGCCAGATGTGGTCCATTATAAATTATGAAATAGTCTTATTTGCATGTTGTCTTCCCTATTATACTGTGAACTCCTTTAGGGCAGAAGCTGTCTTTTGCCTTTCTTTGTGTCTAGCATTTAGCACAGTGCTTGGCATAGAGTAGGTGCTTAACAAGTAGTTGTTGACTGACTGACTCATCAATTTTATTCATAGGGTATGATGATAGATGAAGCAGATGAATTTGTATCTGGACCTCAGAATAAACACAAACGACCTGGAGAACCTAATATGCAAGGGATCCCCAAAAGACGACGTTGTATGTCTCCACTTCTAAGAGGAAGGCAGCAGACTCCTCCTATTGCGAACAATCATATTGGAGGAAAAGGGCCTCCTGTACCAACTGCACAAGCACAGCCAGACCTTATCAAGCCTCTTCCTCTCCACAAAAGTTTGTGGCACTTTTTGATCTTTTTATCTCCTTTTTTTTTTTTGCCTCTTGATAATTCTTCAGTTATTTATTATTGTATATTAGATATAGTGATTTGATTAGGAGTCAGATATTTCTAAAGATGGTTTTTACATGTCTACGTATGCATATGAATTCTTTTTTCATTTCCTCAAGGATAAAATTTACTGAGCACTTGGATATTCATGCCACTGTTTTAGGGGATTTGACATTTTCAAAATGTCATTTGTGACTCATAAATTTATCAAAGGTTGTAGTCATAGGTTTATAAAATATGACAATATCTAAACCTATGCACTTGAGAAAGTGATTCCTGTAAGTAAAGATGGCATGGTACAGTTTAAATTTGGGAATTTATTGTCATAAATTTGGGAATAATAATAGCTAACATTTACATAGCACTTTTAAGGTTTACAATGCACTTTATACATGTTATAGCTTTAGCTTTGAGGTAAGAGTTTTAGAGATGAGAAAACTTGAGCCCCAGAGAAGTGACATGACATGCTTGTCGCTCACTAATATGTTCATGGGGCAAGATTTAAACTCAAGTCCTCTTGACTCCAGGTCCAGCATTTTATCTACTGGTCCAAAGAATAATGTTATCTGGAACCAGACAGTGTGTGTGGTGGTGTAGATTCTGCTAAATCAGAATTCAAGGCCTGAATTGTGAGGTGGCAGTGACCGCAGAGTCTATTTCTTCCAAACCCTCTGTTTTATAGAGGAAGAGTCTGAAATTGAGAGAAGTCGAGGAATTTGCCCCAGAATTAGGCAGATGGTAAGAGCCAGAGCTGGGATTCACACTTGGGGACACTGAACCTTATTCCTTTCCAAGCCTGGCAATAACACTTCCTGTTTTCATATCAAAATAGCTGGTCAAGTCTAATTGTTCTTAATTAGCATGCCCTGAGGTGGGTCAAGAGGAAAGAATGAGAGAGGCAGTTATGGCCCATCCTCTTGAGTGAGGTAGATGCCATGAGTAAACATATATTCCGTGAAGGCAAAACAATTAAAGGACTAAATTTAAAAACAAACGAGGTGGATTGTTTCTCTTTAACATGAGGTAACATACCTTATCTAAAAGGTACAGTGCGTGATAGAAATTAAAAACCACTGCCTAAACATTTATTTTAAAGAAAACATTAGCACCACAGCCTGTTTGTTGATTTGTAGTTGTACAGGAGATAGTTTGATATACCTTAGATGATGTTCTTATAGTCTCTGATTAAATGCCTCCTGTTTGGCCCTGTCTTTATGACCTCTTATCTCTTTGTTTTTAGCTTCAGAAACCACTAATGATATGGCAGTGGATGATGTGGTTGAGAATCATGTTGCAGACCAACTGTCATCAGACATTGCACCGAATGTGATGGATTCTGAGTTTTCAGCATCCTCTTCTCCAGTCAGTTTACTGGAGCGACCAACCAATCACACGGAGGCTCTTGGCCATGATCATTTAGGAACTAATGACCTTACTGTGGGTGGATTTTTAGAAAATCATGAGGAACCAAGAGATAAAGAACAGTGTGCTGAGGATAACATACCAGCATCTTCACTCAACAAAGGGAAGAAATTGATGCATTGCAGAAGTCACGAGGAGGTCAACATTGAATTAAAAGCACAAATAATGAAGGAAATTCGAAAGCCAGGAAGAAGTATGTACTAGTACAGATATACCTCTGTTTTATGTGGCCATAGAGCAGTATAATCTACTGGTGATACAGACCTAAATCTCTCTCATTATTAGACAACATTTGAGTCAGAGCTTAATGAATTTCATTGCCCTTTCAGATCCATTTTGACTGCATAGTCCGCTCTCCAGGAGTTGAAATTCCTCCCCCAGCATGCAGACGTTAACTAGCAGAATGATTTTGCACTGTATATACTCTTACTTTAGTTAATGAGCAAGCATTTATTGAGGGTTGACTGTGCCTAGGATGGTGTTTCATATGCTTGTCAGCTCCATTAGGGCCAAGATCCTGTGTTATTTAATCTTTGTGTTTCCCATAGCACAGTGCTGTATACATATTGTTGACATTTAATAAATGTCTCTTGAAGTTGAATACCATGATTAAGCATGAGCATAGGGATGTATTTAGTGTATAGGCTTAACAACAGTTATGTGTGGGGAAGGAAAGAAGGAGGCTGTACTATGCCTTTTACAATTGTTGTCTTATTTGATCCTCTTGACAGCTCTGAGAGGTAGGTTATACTATGATCCCCATTTTTGTAATTGAGGAAACTGAAGCAGAGAGGTTAAATGACCTACTCAGGTTCACATGTAAATGTCTCAGGCCACATTTGAACTCAGGTCTTCTTGACTCGAGGCCCACTGTTCTATCCACTGCACCAAAGATGGTATGTAGATATTTAATGGAAATCATTTTAACTTTCAATTCACTATAATAACTTAATTCACTTATTCAGTAAAGATTTGTTGAGCACCTGCCATTTGTAAAACTTTGGGAGGTACAAAAATGAATAAAATATAATTCATGCCTTCAAGAAACTTAAAATGTATAATACAATCATTCGAAATCCTCAGAATCTTTTCTCTACCCCTTTCCCACAAACACTCAATTTTGCTTAAATTTTTTTTCTTAAAGCTCAAGAAATAGTTGAATAAAGAAATTTATTTATATCTTGTTTCAGTTGGACTTATAAAGCTATCTACAAAATTGATGGCTTTATACTTATTACTTTGATGTAGGAGCTGTCTCAAAATATTAATGTTGTATAAATTACTTTCTTCTTCACATTTATTTTCCTTAACCATACATGTTTGGAGTGCATTATGAATCATAAATCAAAGTGTTAAACTTCTTTTACAGAATGATTTTCATATTTTAGTATGCCGATATTTCTTTGTAGAAAAGCACCTACAAAAGATAATTTAGCAAATGGTTACCTCTACATGAAAACCACTTACTTAAATGCTGCTTTTCATGTTTTTTTTTTTTAAAGAATATGAAAGAATCTTCACATTACTGAAGCATGTGCAAGGCAGTTTGCAAACAAGATTAATATTTTTACAGAATGTCATTAAAGAAGCATCAAGGTATGTAATCTTGGAACAACATAACTGTCAAATATTATAAAATGACTGTCTAGTGCATGACTGTAGCCTCGAGGCCACAGGTTCCCCACCTCCCTCTCCTGGTCTAGCATATGTAATCAATGTTCTGTAGAGTATTGTGCGTGTACACCCTACATATAGACCTCTATTTATGTATATATTTTATGTTTAATAAAAATTCTACCAGTTAAACGAAAACCTTCAAACTCCTTGGAAACCATGGGATAAATGCTTTTATGTAAGCAGACATGAGGAATTTGGGCTATCTCATGTCTCCCAATCTGTTGCTTTGTTATCTTTGTTTCTCCAGCCTTTGATTTTTTGTAGTCTTTGTAGTTGTACCACCATAAATGTTAGTGATAGAAATAAGACGTGGAATGGAATATGTTTATAGGTGGGAGGAACCTCTCAGAATTAAGTGAACCCCGTAGTGGGGCAGCTAAAATTCTGGCTGACCTACATGCCTAAAAACAGTTGTGAGAATAATCTAGATCAGATTATTGTGATTGATATAAGTAGTCACATGAATTGAGATAACTTTGTATGAATGGAAGAAAATAAATCTAGCTAATCTTACAACAACCTCTGTGTTGCCCAGACAATAATTTTAGAGGGAATAGAACATCTCTTCTTTTTTAGAAGATAACTTCCTTATAGTTAGGGCCGTAGGTTATGTTTTGCCATAGCACTGGACCTAGCAGTCCAAGAGACCTGGGCTCTGGTCCCAGCTTCCTCACTGTGATCTTGGCCAAGTTTCTTCCTTATCTAGCAAATGAGGGAATTGGACTTGGAATCTGCACTGGATTTGGAGCTGAAGGACCTCTGTTGACATTCTGACTCTGATGCTGCCTGCTCCCTCTGAGACCTTGGGCAAGTCAAGGATCTCACTTGGCCTCACTTTTCCTCATCTGCAGATGAGATGATCTGATTCCTTATAACAGCTGTGATCCCAGGCTTGTAGATTATTTAAGATGAAGATGCTAATGGGTCCCTTATGGTTTGGAAAATTTGAATTTGTTGTAGTTTGATCTAGTTATATGAACTTTGCCAGCTTTAGAACAGGTTTTTTTGTTTGTTTGTTTGTTTTATACTAAGGCTCAGTTTTAATTTTCCTTTCTCTTTTGTTCACATCATTGAGGTATGCCAAGAAGATTGATGTTTCATTTAGGACCTACGTTATGTCATATTTTTAGAAATATTTATATAATTTTATCTGGCTTTTGTTAAGTTAGTATCCAGGTTTAGATGATCATTTGGTCATTGCAAAGTATGTTTTTATATTCATGCCTCTGAAGTCCTAAAACAGGCCACTGTGAAAAACATTTTTCTAATTGTAATGTCGTACTTTTTATCCACTTTTTTAATTCGTGTTGTTACTTTTTCCATACAGGTTTAAAAAGCGAATGCTAATAGAGCAATTGGAGGGCTTCTTGGAAGAAATTCATCGCAGATCCAATCAGATAAACCATATTAATAGCAATTAAAAAGAAACTAGAATGTGGCCACCTCTTTCCCTCCCTGCCCCCAAACACAAAGTAAAAATATGACTGAAGGAGTCCACTGCTGTGATCTTTGCATTCGTTTTTGACAAGCACTGTTAGCTATTTGAAATACTAAAAGCAGCAAGTCTACAGATCCTGTTTCCATCATTTTACAGTGACCTTTCTTCATTTTGGTTTATTTTTGTAATGTGAAAAGTATCACTCAAGAACATTTTTATTTAACAAACTAAAACACAAAAAAATCCCATAGAAATTCTTGCTTGTCATTGACTCTTGCGTGTCAATTTCCCTCAGGTTCTATTTTCTTAATCCAACCTTCAAAATTGTCACCTCTGTTAAGGTTGAATTTTGCCAAAAAAGGAAAAAAAAGAAAAAAAGAAAAGAAAAAGACAAAAAAAGAAAAAAGTTACTTTGTAATTTTTTGGGGAAAAAGCACATACATAAAAACAAGGTAATGTTTTGTATATACAGTTATTTTGGATATATTATTGTAAGTTGTACAAATGTATTTTGAAGAATATTTAAGAAAAGCACTTTTGTTATTCCATCAATAAATGCTCTATTTTAATCTTGTGTGTTTTAGGAAGTAGTCAAATTTAAAATAATCCTTTTAAGGAAAATTCTTGAGATCAGCATAATTTTTAAGGCATCACCTTTTTAGTATTAGAGATATTATACTCCTTGAAGTTTGTGTTTGTTAGAGTTCAGCATAGTCTTATCAAAATCCTTGCAACATATTTGCATAATCAGGTTATTTTATTAGGATATTGGCCTAAATATATTTCCATTATTACTCCATCTCCAGGTTACAGGAAAAAAAATACCTGTGGCTCACAGGCGGACATATAGTTAGGACCAGAGAGACGTAGCGCTGGAAAGAATGTCTGAAGGAATCCAAGGAATAAAAAGCTCGGAGCATTAATTACTAGCTCTTGTACTTCCCCTCAGCTCCTTTTCCTCTTAGTTCGGCAATAACTATTAACTAAACTGATGATATTAGAGGCTGGGAAACAGGTATTTGGGACACATCACACACCATATGTTGGTTCAGATGTCTAGTCAATCCTTTGAATTGGAAGACTGTGGAGGCTCCAGTCATTTGTTAGACAAGAGCTTCAAAGATTGGTGTAATCAGGAAAGGGATCTAGTCTTCCTACCAACCTATTAAAATACTAAGCTTGAGTGCTAGAGGAATTGAGACAAATTTTAAGATTACTTTTCCATGTTTCAAGATCTTAATGACAAAGTGAAGAAGGGAACTTGGTTTTCTGGATCATAGTTTCGGCTCATATCCTTGCTGAATTCAATACCTCAAATGGAGTTCTAGACTACTGATAAGTAGTAGAAGTCAACAGTTGATGGATTAGCCAAGGCTAACTGGAGGTAGATACACCCAATTCCCCGGGGCCTTAGCATGACTTTGTGTGCACTACTCTGGACTCAGTCTTGTTACTTCTTCTATACCCTCAAGTTTGATGGCCACTAAAACTGTGGTTCACTGCTAATGGTCCCCGTGTGTATTTAATAAACTGAAAGAAAAAAAGATATTGATGGTAAAAGAAAAATCAGTGCATGATAACAGTTATGTAAGCAGTTTTTAAAGTGTTTTCAGGTTCATGGAAGTCACATGCCTTTACCCTAGAAGATTCAGGTGTGATAAAAGTACAGTCACAATTTTGTTGAGGAGAAAGCTCAATGCACAGAAGGAAGTGAAGAAACCACCTTTGAGACCTGTTATTCTAGGGGATTTGTAACTCTTCCAATACAGAGGACAGAACCTGTGAATAAAAAGAAAGACTTAATACAGTGCTACTTATTTTTCTAGGCATTTAAAAACCCTTGGCCTCTACAAAATGCCTATCGGTAAAATAGCATCTCATTCAGTAGGTCAAGAAGTTAGTCACTTAAAATCCTATTGCAAAATGAAAACTAAGCATAGAGTAGTTGACTTGCTATTTAAGTCCCAATTATAAAAGCAGAATGTGAGGTGGATAGACTAAATGAAGTCCTTTAGTTAATAATCCTTCTCTATAGGACTATAATCATAATACCTGGGGAACAGATTCACTTCATTTTGGTATTCAATAACTGATCATCAAAACATTTTTTTTCCCATCTATTTAACATGTCAGTTCTGCTTCTGTATTATCTGTCGGAAGATCCATGGGTCATCACGCTCAGTTTAAATTAGACTAGCTAGCACCCCAGGACTGTCCCTACCCAAAGGACCTCTTCTCTTTCCCAGTCCCCCTCGCCCTCGTTGGCCTGCGCTTGCCTCTCCAGGTCAATGTAGTCAGTCTGTTCTCCTGCTTCCAGTGCTCGTCCTGCTGTCTCAATGCCTTTATGTTGTGCCTCTCAGTGGTGTCAGGAGAGAATTGAATAAATTCGTTTATACTGTGTTCTGTCTTACAAGACTGAAGATATTCCTAAAGGGATATTTGCATTTAACAAGCCGGAAACCTTTAAGCCAAAGGAGTAGATTGTTAATTGTGCAATTTTAATTGTCAGCAATGGAACAGAAGTAATTTTGGCCCCTCAAATCAATTTGTAAGACTGGCCTCAAAGATTTTATTGTTCTCAAGTAAAGTCATCCCAACTCCTTAGGCCTTTTTGTTATATTCCATTTACCATCATGCCCATTGCCTTCTTTTGGAATTCAATATTGACAGCCCTGATAAAAATGATCAGCTTAGTGTACATCTTTCTAGAATGTTGTTCCTTTTAAATTATTTTAACTTAAAACAATGCAGACAGGGCAAGTTCTCTACCACCTTCATTGTCTCCTGTATGAGAACCTCTAACTGCCAATTTGAGGAACTAGCAAGGACCTTATATTTAACTTTTTAAGGGCCGTTGTTAGGGGTGGAGGGAGAGGGGGTAGAAATCAAACCTAAAAGTGCTGCAGTATGTATTCATAGTTATTTGGGATTTTGAAATGACCATTTAAACTCTCGAGGGAAATTGTCTTTAATTAGACTTTTACATTTCATGTGCCAGCTCCTGACTAAGGCAGTGATTCCGGCAGCTCATTAGACACATGAGGCAACAGTCTGTCCTTCTCCAGATCTCAGAGTTTTGATATCCTTTTCCAAAGAGATTACATTCATCCAAAGGGAACCTCTGGCTTTGAACATGCCCTGATTTTAGTCAGCTATGCTCTGGCCATGACAAATCCTGATCAATTTCTGCCCTGTTACATTTGTTGTTTGAGAGAGACAGCCTAAAATTACTTTAGCTTTATGTTCTTTAGGATGAACCATTTCTCATGGAGGGGAGGGTTTATTAATTGCCTACCTATGAGGAGTTAATGGTCTTTTCTTTTCCTTCCATGTTACCTTCCCACTCACTCCAAAACTGCCAAAAGTCAAAATGCTGGAAGTATATTTGTGAATCTCTTCTTACAGACATTGTCTTCTACCGAAGGATTAACTTCATTATTTTATGAGAAAATACTCCTTTTACTTTCAGCCTGAGGTACAATATCCAGTTAAAAATTCTCAGAGAAAATGCTGTTGACAGAATTTTCCCTTGCAAATCTGTATAGTAAACATTTTCCTAAGTATACTTACTTTTTGTTTTGTTTTTTTAACTCTTAGATATTATCATTTTCCTCTTGATAAAAATCATGCCTAATGTTTAGTCCAGTTAGATCACTTTTGCCTGATTTATTAAAGTCTTATTCCATTTTGTTCCTTTTTACTTGCCAATACCAATCTGTGCTGAAAATAACTTTTCCTTCTTGGGATGTTAAAGATTGCCAAAGGAGGGAAAAAGCCAACAGTAAGCTATGCATGCAAAGAGAAACAAAACACTGTTCAATTTTGCCAAATCTGAGAGGTTCTACCTCTTATTTCTGACTTGCCAAGGCCTTATATTGTAAATTTGCCTGTGTAAAGCTATGTGGTGCCCAAAAGTGCTTAGGGGAAAGAAATATTTGTTTCCTGTGCAATTTCAACAAGAGTGTGGAAAATGTAAGATGGGTGGTCCAGCTCTTTGGCTGAAAATCAGTATAGAAAATTCAGGAAAATAAATAAATAATGATCTTAAATGCACCTCATAAAGTGCCTTCCTTGGGTTAATACTTTTCTTTTCATGATGTTAGGGGTCCCCTTCAGTCAGTCAAGAATTGCTCTGGTTCACTCTAGTGTACTAAAAGTAGCCTCACTTCCTAAGGTGTTCAACTTAGTGTTGGAAAACAACTGATGAACCAAGCAAATTGTCCTAATATACTTTCATACTTTTTTCATTCTAAAAGTATAAGCTACGTTTGGTATGCCACTGAACTGTTTTGATCACACAGTCATTGGGAAGGTTAGTGCCTACAATAATTTGTATGCAAAACCATTGAGCTAAAGTCAGGAGTCTGCATATGAGTGAAGGGAGCAGATGTGGTTGAGGTTCCTCAGAACCACAATCACAGCACAGTCAAAACCTCATAGTTGACTCATAAGAGTAGATGTTGATGGGTTATCTTATTTCATAAACTGTAGAAGATGTCATTTAATTGTGTGACAGGTTAAATCTAACAATAAAGCAGGAAGAGCCCCTGTTTAGATAGGAGAGCCCAGTCATTTGTGTGTAATTTGTGTCATGAATCCCATCAAAGAAATTATTGAAATACCTGTATTGGATTCTCTCAGGAAAAAGATGAATGGTCTATCTGCCTTAAAAATTGGAGTCCTAGATCTTCTCAGTAACACTAGAGCTATTGAAAAGATGAGGGAAAAAAGAGGAATTAATATGATAATCTGTTCTTATGATTTTATTGGATCTAGATGGAAGATAGGCTGATGGTCATACAGGGATTCCACTTGTCCATTATAGAAATCTTCACAATGTAAATGTCCTTAACGGGTCTGAGCCTCTGTTGGAAATGTCTACTGAATGGAAACCCACTACCTCTCAAAGCATCCCAGGAGAAAGGCTACATTTAAATTGAATAAATAAAATATATCTTTGGCTTTTTAAAGATTAGACATATTCTAATGACATTAATTTCATGCTATTTACAAAAGTTTAAATTAACCTAATACTTGGGGAAGACCAACCAATAAGATCAGTGTCAGGAATGAGAAGAGAGCTAAGGTCTCCTAGTTCTAGTAATAGATTCCAAGTGGAAAGTTCCTTTGTGCTGAAACTAAATTTCAAATTGATCAGTATGCATTATTCTTAGGTGGTAATAATCATAAAGATTTTCTAAAAGATGGTCCTCTATCTTAACCTCATTTTCATTTTTGAAAACTCATTGCTGTTGCATTGAGTTGCATTACAATTATCTCTATGTATGGCTAGCCAGCATTGACAGAGCTCTGAAGATAGACTACCACACTGATATTTCAAATAAAGTTTAAAGTTCAAAAAAGGCATGACAACCTGAACTTTGGTATGTTTAACAAAAGTAGGTGTGCCACTAGCAAATTTTCACTTTTCTATGCCTTGTGCAAGCGTACC